AGTAGTTTCTTCCCAGTTTCTGAGCTCTATGATGTTTTACCCGCACCTGAAAATTTTGAACCATCAGAAAAGCCCACTAGCAACCAAAAGTTGAATGGGATTATCATGTCTTTCATTTTTGAGTTATTTTTGCTAATGAGTATTTTTTATTAAAAAAAATAACATATATGTTAGCGTACAGAAAGTGATATGTTGCTCGCACCAATCAAATCGTTTAGGGTATGTTTCTCGCACCGATCAGTGCGTCGTTTTGTTCTTTGGTTTGAGAGAGGTGTTCAAATTTCAACGAAGTAACTGGGGATTCGGAGAGAGCGGCTCGTCAAATGGAATCATCTCTTAGGAAGAGAAATGTTAACTTTTCTTTGCTTTTAACGTGTATTTTACCGCGCTTTATGAGAAACGCGATACTACTGGACAGATGGGAGATATCAGATTACCTATTGTAAATATGTCAGTCATGCTGTAAAAATGGTGGATAGTTGTTCGAGGGAAAATGGAGTTCTGTGCTCTGTAGTACGGTTATGGTCATTGTTCCTTCACGACGAGAGTGAGTAGAAAAATTTTGAATCAAATATTGCTTGAGGTGTGTATGAATTACACCAAACATTTTGATTTGAGCAGTTCTCTGACGGCAAGCTGTGTTGCAAGATTCATGATTTGTTGAGTGTGCCGATTATATTTTTCTGGATTGGTTTGCTCGGTGCTATCTCTTTATGAATGTCTGATTAAAATTAACTATGGATGATTTTGTGTATGTTTTCGATTCCTGGAGAAAGTGATCTTGTGGAGTCGTTTGTGTTTAGCCAAGGACGAATTCAGATACCATCGTTGGCATGTTAATTTGATTTTGTTATCTGGAATGAATGATTTACAAAGGTAAGTTAATATCATGTGATCTACTAGCGTCGAAAATTTATCAAGTCGAAGGAATAGTTTTGGTCCCGGTCCTCATTTTTGTTAACAAAATAAACACATACGCTTAAAAAGATGATAATACGGACCACGTACAAAGCTGTCAATTGTTTCTCGAATGCTGCGTGTGTTAAACATTCAATAGTGACATCTCATCTACATTTACATCTATTACGTTGGTAAAATCTGTACAGACATCACACCAACCAACTCGCATGCAAAGTAGGAAGACTATATGAAGGCTTGAAATTATATTACGATCGATTTTGAGGGCCAGGAATATTCCTTAATAGTGCAAATAATCGTGAGAGCTGATCGCGGAAAAGCGATTTCTCGGAGTAAAACATAGTTTTTAATGGTACTTATAAATACCAAACAAAACCTACCATTTCTGGGTTCTCTTTGAGGTATTGAACTAAGGTTTTCCTTAAGTCATCCTGTGGAATTAAAATTTTTTTTAACAATTTCCAGTTGTTCCAATAAAGCACGGAACAATTTCCCTTTCCGTCGTTATCAGAAACGATTAATAATGGTAATTGAACTGAGTGGAGTGCAATTTGGGCTAAAATCATACGCGTGATTCCAAAATTGAACGAGCGCGCGGCGCGAGTTCGATTTGAAATCACAAGTATGATTTCAGACCAAAATTGCACAACACGAGGTTCAATTACCACTCTATTACATCCATTTTGAAATCGCCCAAATACAGGACTTGGTCAGTTCAAATATTTTATTAATACAATACTGAGCTGGTTTGAAATTAAATTCATCCATTTTTTGGGAGGAAAAAATAAGAGTTTTGGAAACAAAAGTTGCAAAATTTGCCACATGATAATCCATGTCTTTCATCTTCCTGCAATATGATCGGTTACTTTAAATAAGCCTTGAAGTCTGATTGGTTGTTTTGTTTTTAGTGTAGCCTCCTCATTGGCTGGGGATTGGATGCGATTTAAAGCAAAAAATGGTGCAATTTGTGAATAAATCGCACCAATTAGAGCCAATCAGATTACAGGGACCATCAGTGATTTCAAAATGGGTGTAATAAAGCCCATGTCCGATACAGCTTTACTTAATTCATCTGTTATTTCAAGTGTAGGAACTCCCTTGCTCTTGTATTTACTTTCAGTCATTGCATGTTTCAACTTTTTAAGATTCTCGGTGATTTCTCCAGGAACACCTAAAGTAAACAAATATTTATGCTGTGAAAGACAATGAAAAACTCCATAACTAATACTGACAATATTAATGCAGATGTGACCTTACATTCTCAAGCCTCCATGAATTAATCGAGCCATGCAAATGAACAAGAACTCCTTTCAGTATTTTCCCCTTCCATAGTTAAACATGTTTTCTTTTTGAGAATTTAGTGACACTATGTACATACTCAACTACTTTCAACAACTGATTCTGGAAAGCTGGTTTACTAACTTAGAATAGACTCCCCTCAACAGGTGTAAACCACTGCCTGCACCACACAAACGACTCATCCACAGCATCAACATTACAAACAAAGCAAACAGAATGACCTAACTTTTTTAACGGATAAAGACTGAGCAATCACCACCAACCTATGCCACTTGAGTCTTACAGCCACTAACATCACTGCAAAACTGGCCAATCAGTCTATAAAAACCAGGCTTAGAACATTCAACTGACAACAAATATTCACTTGACTCTAATGATGACTTCCGCTCAGGTTGTTGAAACATCTGTCACCACTACCAACAAAAGTCCTTCTCAGGTCTACACTCACCCGCACAATCAAAACACACTATTACATGTTACCCCCAGGTTCAAACCATTTTACTGTTTTATTTCCAAAGCAAACAACAATGTCATTAGCATACTCTATACTCTCATAAAGCACACTACAATAAGCCAATCAGAATCCTTGTTAGAATGGTTCAAATACTCCGATTGGTTGAACAAGATTGAAGCTGTCAAAAATGTCAAACCATCAAAGTTCACAATCTGCTAGAGTTTACAAACTGAAATATTTCGGTGGGTTGAATTTAACACCTTTGCCTGAAGTTTTATAATCTTAATGAAGAATCTGAAAGTGAAATTTCTAATAAAATCCAGCCAAATTATGGCTTATAAAACCATGTAAGTTTTTTCACTACATGACAATAAGATAACAAACTTCTCAAGGCATATGTTTCATCAATGAATGACAGCTGAATTAACAGGAGCATGTACATTTCTCAGGATGACGGCACACTTTTTCAACCATAACAGGGTATGCTATATCCAAACTTTATCATAAAAATGTATCAAGGGCACATATCTACCAGTAAGTGGGCTTATTACCAGAATGGAAAAAGTGCTAAAATTGTTCAAATCTTCTGTTTGAAATAGTAAGTGAGCTTTTACCTGTGGGGGATTATAATTGCATGCAATTTTTTGGTAATACAAGTAGATGGACCTTATAATAACCAGAAGGGGGCCTTAAATTAGTGGAGGGGGGGCTTTAATTAGTGGCAGTTTACAATAAACACATCACTAAATTACCATTCAAAATAACAAGGAAGATTTCAGGGGCGGGGACTTCAATTGATTCATGCATCTTACACAAATTGTATGATACATGTAGTTAAAGTATTGAGTAATATTAATGTACAGTTACAATACACACATTGAAATTACATACCATCTGGAACATCTGGAACATTGCCAGTTCCACCCTCACTAGGATCCTTTTCTTGATGTTCTGTTCCACACATATCATTTATGAAAAAAGAAGAATCAGAATTGAGTAAAATTAATCGGATCTATAGTCTATTTGACTTGTTTCATTAATTTGGGAAAAAGTTCCAAAGAATTTAAAAGCTTTTTCTCTTTTTTGTCTGTAATTGTCACCTGTCCGTTTATGTTGTACTGTTGGCATTTTACAAAAGTAACGTTGTTATTTTCCCATACATTTCAAAGTGAACCAAGCGAGTTAACTTTTCTAGCCTTTGAATTGTTCAAAGGAGCAACTGGAGCAAAATCAAAGTACAGTACATTGAGTAATTGGGTTGTACAGAACCAGACAATTAAATTACATACCAGCAGAATCTTTGGTATCTTTATCCTCACTGTTCCCACTCCCTCTTAGATTCTTGTCTTTATGATCTGTTGCATGAATACCATTTGTAAGAAAAAAAATTGGGGGTATCATATTGGGTATTGCATGGGTATATTGGATATCATTATTTGCTCAATATTTAAGATTTATGACAGTCACCACAGACACATAGTACTTAAAACGTTGAAACCTTGTTACAGAAGGGTGGAGATGGGCATAGTAGAAAATATAAAACAAATTTCCTTGAGACTTAGAGAGTTATGAGACATTTAACTTACCAAGTTCGGTCTGTGTTATGAAATAGGGAATAAGTTGTCCATCAGCATCCTCTCCTACCACACCAATGACACGTTTGCCTGTAATAATAGGTGATCCGAGAACGGTAGATTTGTCGATGGCACATTTTCTCCCCTCATAAGAATTAAGTTCATGCTTTTTCTTTTCTTAGTTGTATCTTTGATGCGTTAAGCTAATGATTGTTCTCAATGTATTTCGAACTCCGACGAAATTTCACTAGTGATTGATAAGGGCACGATCGTCCTCGTTAAAAACGCCTCCCAGGTTAACAACCACGGCTTCCCTTCCACTTAAACAGCGCTTGCCATTCCTCTAGTTTGGTTAATGGGAAGAACGTGGACAACCTCTCTTACAGCAAAGATGGCTTTTTCGGCTTTTTGTGATCGGGAATAATCCATCGTCTAAGTGAAAAACAACTGCTCAAACTGTGGCCTCGTGAAACTCCGTGAGATTGTAAAAGCTCCTAACGGCGGAGTGGTAAGGCTAAGTTATCAATGTTTCTCAGCGTAGTATGTTTCAGGCGTATCCTCGAACATCGGTGTACACTTATATGGCCAGATATCGGGAAACATCTTTCGCGCCATCTTTGGAAGACTGGGGGAAATAGCGGAAGTGGAGAAAGTTGTCCAAGTGGTCAGCAGTAAGTCTTTACCAGACCTTGAGCGTTTTACATTCTTCCGCTTTTCCGATCTTAGCCCTCTCCTTAGTCACAATACAGACTGCTAGCGGCTCCTTATCGAACATTCCTGAGAGATTAAGCCTGACTTGTTTTTGTGCCAGCGAGAAAGTCATCATGGTTCCACAATCGTTGTGTAACAAGCTCACAGTCATCTTTGCGATCGTTGGGTTGAGTTTTGAGTTCATTCTTGGAACCTGCATAGAACGCGACGAACAAATACAAAAGTATTTGACGTCTGACAATTATTTCAACATATCGAAGGCTGTATATCCTTCTGTGGATCTCCCATCTTTGCTTATAAACATAAGTGTGGTATTCCTGGAGACAGCTGGCGAAAAGTCAAATGGAAGTAACAGTTTAAGCACCCTAAAGCGAAATGTTTCTCGATCAACGCTACATTTTACGTGGAGTATGTCGTGCTTGTACGTTAGCGGAAGAGAAATCAGCTTAGAGTCTATGAAGTGGTTTTCCCTGGGGGCGATTTTTCCGAACAGAAGAAAACGTGAATTGCACATAACATTACCAGAACTCTGCAGAGACTCTCCTGTTGACATAAACAAAACCATGGAATACTTCCTCTCCACGGTAAATGATCATTCTGAGCTGAGTAACGTTTTTCTTTCCAGGTTTAGTTTCGTAGTTTAGCGTTTTCTGAAGAAAGTGAAGGAGGGGGGAGGGGGCAAGGGGAGAAGGTGAGTCGGCTAAACTCTTTTCTCTACCCCCCTCCTAACTCTTTTTCCTCCTGCTCTCCTCTTCGCCCCTTCCTCGACTGGAAAGCGTGTTCACAGGCTGATAAAGGAACTAGGACCCTGTCGCTTGCTAGTCTACCTTGTAGGCCCATAGGCAGACCACGCTATGTGTTTGTGGTTAATAATTGTTGACTTGAGACGAACAAAATCTATGAAGGTTATGAATTGTTCGGAGGCCGTTAAGAGAAGAAAGGGAGACTCTTCTTTTAACGGCCTTCGACTAAAAGTAATTTTGTTAAAAGACGCTTCAAACGGCCCATGAAGGCGAAATAAACCATAAATACGTCGATTGAAACTTCATGTAACTTTATTGAGATATTCAGACCAAGAGGTAATTTAGATATGCAATTTTCAGAGCTTTATTCACAACCCTCATAGATTTTGTTCGTCTCATGTCAACGATAACCACGAACAGAAAGTGTGGTCTGCCAATGATATGGTTGGCTTGTCCTGATTGCACTCGGCAACTTTTGAGCAACTTTTGGCGTTTGGTCATGTACATTATTAAAAAGTAATAACATGATTTCTCTTGAAATTTGGTCTCGTGCAAGTTTGTTGTCTTTCAAAAAATTTACTAGTGCTTAGTACACCTCATCATAAAAATTACAATTTCCTGGATTGTGATTGGTTTTTCAAAACTTCCATTTACCACTAATTCACTTGCCAAGTTATAATCAGTTAGTTTGTCATTAGACAGTTTGTTATCAAACAGTTCAATAAGCCAATTGTCTTCAAAGTTTTACTTTAAATAAACCAATCACAACCTTGGTTTCAATCACCATAGAAACAGTGTAAAAACTCTTAAATTGGGGCTTTCTTCAAAATGGAGAATTTTTCCCTTGAAAAATGACAGTATTTTAGAAGACAGTATTGATTTTGTTTATCCTATGACACAAATGGTTTTGGTATCACTCGTATGATTATAGACCGAATTGGACTCCACTCATTCCTGTTAACATCACAAATTGCACTAGAAATCACATCGTTGATGTGCGTCTTGAATAAAAATCCCAATTCCACTCACAAGAGGCGTAGCTGATTTATTTTGTTGATCGTGTGTAGTATGTTCATGTCGCTTTAGAGAACTTAAAAAATTTATTTTTTCCCTTTTTTCACTAACTTTTTTCACAAAAAGAAAGAAAGAAAAAAACAGCGCTTAAGCAGCACGTAACATCATTGCTATCCTTACTATTGACGATATGGAGGATACCCTTCTCGGCTCCAGGATGTAAATTTGGAACGAATTGTACGATTGCTATATTTTATAGTGAAACGCTTGTGTCGATACAATAATGATTTTGATTATTAATTGATAGTTGCAGGATATAGCAGTTAATCCACTTGTTTTTGATCCAAGTCGGAACACGGTTGAGTGCATCATTCCAGGTCATGAGAAGGCTCCACCTCTTCCTGGGCTGAAGAAGCTCTTACACACTTTATGTTGGAGTTTACTTTATATTAGCCTCGTGATGGGTACTTTTACATCACAGTGGGTGATAAAGAAGCTGAGGGTATGGGACGAAGAGGAGAGTTGGAACAAGGACAGGAGTTGGAAGAAAATTGCAGCGATGATGATTTCATCTGTATTTCTCTTTTTTGGGAGCCTTAGTATAAACATTTATGTATTGATAGAAACTAAAGATTCATATGTTATAGTTTTTTTGGGGTTTACAATTTTTGTGCTTCTCCGAAGGGTAGTTTGGTGTACTTGGGTACACATGGATTGCAATTACAATTGCATTCGCAATATTTTTGAATGCTTTAAGAAATTTAACCTTCGCGTTACCCAAGGCCATGGACATTTAACTAGTAAAAATTTTGTTTCTATTGTTTTTCTTTACCCAGCGATATTCATGGCATGTCATCACTTGCTATGGATTTTACTTGGTGTGATAACAGAACCATTTTGGGGTTTTACAATTTTAGTGGCTGTTATTTCTGTTTGCACAATTTTTTTCTTCCTTGTTTCCGAGCTCTTTGATGTTCTTCCAGCACCTCAAAATTCTGATCCAGCCCAAGATGACCAGCCCAGTGGCGACCAAAAGAAAGTGTTTATCATGTCTTTCCTTCTTTCCTTAGCCGTTCTGTCTGCGTTTGTGTTGTTGTTACTAGTTTTGTTTGCTGTTGCACAGGTTTTTCTTAGCGAAAGTTTGGTTGCTACGTTGGTTCAAAATGCGTTGACGTTTTTTATAACTGCATGGTTTGGATATCTGGGGTTCAAAAAGGAGATAACCACAGAGGAGTTAAAAATAATAAGGAGTGAAAATAATGGAAACAATGGTGTGAGGAAAGAGGAAGGCATAGGCATGTCTGCTCGGGGAGACGCAGGGCCCAGTACCTAGCAAGCTGGACTCTGGATGGAAGAGACTAGGTCTGTGCCCTGACTTTCACTGCCTCTCTCCAATAAGGTGTGCAAAATGAGTACCAACCAACTGCAGGGAAACCTGAAAAAATGAAGGGTGGGATAGCCTTTGATGGGCTATCATCCTATCAAGACTAGCATCTCATCTTAGTCGCTCTAATGCTTCTGGAAGTAATGATAAGCACAAATGAGTAAAGGGGGTAAGTTTCTAAAGAAACTGTGGTGCTGCGTCGGTGGGAGA